GGTGCAACTCGTAGAGAGGGGTCTTGTATATGTATGTATTTAGATGCTGTGTAGGGAATAAAAAATAGACGTACTGACTAAATAACGTAAATCATTAATACAACCAACACCTGTGTCCAACTGAGCTTACCCAGTTTCTGTATTTCTATCTTTTACAAAATGATTTATCTTTTATGGTAAATCATATTTATAAAATATATTTTGAACATTATTGCTGAGGTAAAGCATTGATGATATAATATTTCATGGATAGTTAATTTTTACCCAGTATGCTTTGCTGGTTTCAACCTCGCACAAATTAAGGTGGCTGTTTCGCTGACTGAGATATTTCAACTCGCTTGTACTTAAACAAACTTACTATGGTTCGACACCATCTTGCGTGAGAGACATGTGTTCAGCAAATGCGTTTTGCATGCTAAGTACTAACTAGAAATTTCCACTACTAAAATAAGCCACAAAATTGATTATGAAAATGAAGTTATTATGCCACTCAACATGTTGGTTATCTAAGGTTGCAGAACATGATAAACCTTTTACTTGACATAAAAATCTATAACTAAAAAATAATTTAATTTTTTTGCTGAGAGTACCTACATAATACTTTCATATTAGTACATGAGGTTTGTTCCCAGTCAGATGTTTTGCCAATAATCTTCTCTCGTTTTAATGTTGACTTTTGAACCAAACTAATAAAATATGATATTGAATGAATTTATAAAAAACAATAATTTGATTTCAGATCAACATCCTTGCACAGAAATATGATGATGGAAACAAATTTGACAATGGCAGTTAAATGGCCATGAATTATGTTATTTATTTCTACATTGTATTTGTTATTCCTAGGGTTGACCCCTTTGGAATCTGGGGGTGGGGGAAATTAGGCTATTGCATTCCACACTACTGTGGGAGGGATTTTTTTCTTGAGAGCATGTCTCAACATTATATTTCTTCCCAATGAGATTTTTTTTTTATTTCTCTTGAGAGAGGAATTTTTTTTTTTTTTACTATTTAGTCTGTGGATATTACCACATTCAGCCATACTTAAATTCATTCAATACCTATCGAATAAAACTTTTCGAGCTTTACCATCCAAAGCTCCCAATACTTATTGTGTTTTTTTTCTTTGATTTCAGCACACATAAATTTTGTTTTCTCAAAATCTTCCAGACCCCCCCCCCTCAGATTTTAAATGGGTTACGCCTTTAATACCCGATATCTTGCAAATAGCTAGAAATGAATCATTCTTGTTTACTTATGTGTAAACTGCATTCTAATTTTTCCAACATGTTTATTCATTTATCACCACATATTGGTTCATTATTACATGAATCAACAATTTTTTAAAAAAAAAAACGGTAAAAACGCAGCTCATCAAATCAGTGTATTTACCTTGGAGGCATAGTGAAATATATATATATACCATATATTTGACGAGAAAGAAACCCAACTGTGTATATAATGACTTAATGTTGAATCAGAAAATAGTTGAAGTTGGACTTGTATAGACATCACACACATTATGTTAAGTCACGTATTACACTCGCATAATAAAATATGTAGTTTAATCGTTAAATATTAAGTTTTGGTGCCACATTTAGAAAATATTTTGTATTTTACTATAATTTCTTTGTTATTTTGGAACATATGGACATGATTTTGTATTCGCTATTAGTACTGATCAAAATTTGTAAAAATGTGTGCAAGTTTATTTTGTGAAAAGTGACTCAATGCCCAATGTAGGCAATAAATAGATCAACGTGATATATTTTTAAAACAGAACACCAAAATAATTAATAAAATAGGTAATATTAAAAATTAATACTAACTATTCACATTATTTATGATTTATCTAATTCAATTTCATTATGTCGTGACCTTGAGATCAGTGGCCCAGCAATACTCTTTTCCTGGTCTTTGAATACTACATGAATCTCCTTGTAAAGTACAAGAGGCCTATACTGTTGAAATTCACCAGACTTCAGACGTGCTCAATCGAGTATATCACACTTGTTTGTGCTAGATCAATGTATGATGCTGACCTTTATTAAATTTGTGTCACCACTTGGTTATTGTCATCAAGCAGAAATATGAATTATTTATTCAGTCCTTGAACCCCCATGTTGTTGTGAATATATATAGAACCAATAACAAATTAATTTTTAATAATGTAAAGCATGTAATATATTTCATATATATATTTCTTACACTTTAGTGAAATATAGACTGTACTATTGGTATTGCACTGGGTATTATGAAACGTGCATTCCAAATATGGAATGATTACACGCAAGGGTCCTCTAATAATAATAAAAACAAACATAGCTGTCCCCATGGTTTGACTGGACCCAACGCAAAGAAGTTCACTAAATCTGTTCTAAACATTTTGGATTTTGGCATTCCCATGATGGGAGGAAAAGATGTATAATAATAAGGTTATTATGAGGATACTGCAAAGTACGCACTCAGACAGTTCATTGTTGCATCGATACTCCTTTCTGTACTGTCTTTGTACTGTCAAATATATTATAAGATACAGTTTTAGTTTTTGTTTTTGTTTTCATTGCTGCACTAAAAAAAATTTAAAAATGTAAGTGACTGACTTGACTGCATTTTTTTTTTAAATACTAAATAAAATGTATATGTACAGTATATTGTAGGTACATTTGTATAAGCAGTCATGTTTGGACTAAATTTGTGGTTATTTTGAAAGCACTCAACTTCAGGTTCAAATGCTTACAGAGTCAGTAATAGAAAGGAAAGTGACATTAAATTCATTGTTGAGGTGAAAGGTATATTAGGCTACTGCACTAATTATGTGAGCTATCAATCATTGATTATTGATTATTGAATTGAAATTGACTTTCACCTTGGCCCTGAATAACACCTGCCATATAGTGATTCACGCTTTAGAACATGTCTTCTTCATGAGTAAATATCAGTCAGCTGAAAATTAAATTATTTCAAAAACATTTTCTCTCCCTCATTGAATATTAAAACAATTCTGCCACATGCCATGTTACCTAAGGAGTCTTTATTTCGTAAATAACTTTCAGAACTTTCAATTAACAATTCTATCACACACACTTGCCAAAAATAGAAAAGTAATTAAATAACCTAAGGATAAATAAATATGCATTTATTTGTAAAATACCGTTGGTTTATAGCTAGGCTTGTGTAGGGATATCAGTATCATAATTGATATCTGCTAACTTGACATCGCATATAGGTTGTGTAAAAATAACTGAACATAAGAAGGATCAGGTGACACCTAAGATATAGATTTCCAGTGAAATGTTGCCCGCTGTGATGTACTTGTTTT